AGCAGGGAGTGGTGGCACGCGCCTGTAGTCCCAGCTACTTGGAAGACTGAGGAAGAAGAATCGCCTGAACTCAGGAGGCAGAGGTTGCAGTGAGCCAAGATCGTGCCACAGCACTCCAGCCTGGGTGACAGCATGAAACTCCACCAGAACAAAATAAAACAAAACATCCCAGACTTGCTGTCCTGCCTGCCACCCCAGAAACAGTCATAACTAGGCAAGGCCATGATATTGAAGCAGGATACCTTCTGTTGAAGCAGGATGCCTCTCAAGAGACACACGATTCTTTGACACCTATTATGTATGTTTAAGCTGAGACAGATGTGTGTGCACTGGATATGTGATTCTGAAACTGACATAATGTTCAGCTCTTCTTCTCATTTCTCAAATATTCTGAGGATGTTGTTTTTAACATCTCACCTGTAGCATTTCCTGGAACGTCTCCTCCAGCTCTGTGGCAAGCTTCATCACTTGATTGAGATGAGCTTCTCTCAAGTTCAAGTCAGCTATGCACCCCTGCCGTCTCTGATTCAGCTCACGCTCTTCATTCAACAACCGGAGTCTCATATTGTACTCAGACTCAATCATCTTTTTAAAATTTTGTTCCTCTTCCTTCCTCATAGATATAGACATGATAGACTTCAAGTTACACATGATAGATTAAAGCCACACACACACACACACACAAACACACACATTATAATACTTACATACATATATCTTATATTGACCACAATACATTCTTTCCATCTCAAATCCCAATATAAAGACAGGGAAATATAAAGTACAGGAGAAGAAAGAAAAGGAATATCCAAAGGACGAATGGAATTTGAATCAACATCAGTCAAGACATCAACACAATTTTAGAACATAAAATGCAGATGAAGAAATGTTCATCATTAAGGAGAAACTAAGGGAGCTACAGCCTCTGTTATCACAGAGGCCAGGGCGCTAGAGAAGGGCCAGTGGGATTTGCTGACACTTGGGAAAGAGGTGTGGGAAAAAAAGAGTCATGGATGAAAGACACCGAAAATGTTAGACGAAGCAACTGGAAGAATTGAATTACCAATAGAGAGAGAGAATCTATGGAAGGGCTGGATTCCAGGAGTGAGGAGTGTGCCTGAGTTTGGGATGTGATGAATTTGCTATCACTCAGATATCCAGGTATAGATAAGAAGTAGGAAATTGGACGTGAAGCCTACTACCATTTGGAAGCCCAGGCTAGGGGTGCCTATTTGGAAGTAGTTATCTTAGAGATGCTGTTTGAGCATCTCCATTAAGCTATTTTTTTTTTTTGAGACAGAGTCTCGCTCTGTCACCCAGTCTGGAGTGCAAAGGCATGATCTTGGTTCACCGGAACCTCCACCTCCTGGGTTCAAGCAATTCTCCAGCCTCAGCCTCCTGAGCAGCTGGGACTGCAGGTGCCCACACCATGCCCAGCTAATTTTGTATTTTTAGTAGAGACGGGGTTTCACCATGTTGACCAGGATGGTCTCCATCTCTTGACCTCGTGATCCACCCGCCTCGGCCTCCCAAAGTGTTATAGGCGAGACCCACCGCGCCCGGCTAAGGGCTTATTAAACTATTCAAGATTAGGCTGGGCGCGGTGGCTCAAGCCTGTAATCCCAGCACTGTGGGAGGCCGAGGCGGGTGGATCACGAGGTCAAGAGATCGAGACCATCCTGGTCAACATGGTGAAACCCCGTCTCTACTAAAAATACAAAAAATTAGCTGGGCATGGTGGCGCGTGCCTGTAATCCCAGCTACTCAGGAGGCTGGGGCAGGAGAATTGCCTGAACCCGGGAGGCGGAGGTTGCGGTGAGCCGAGATCGCGCCATTGCACTCCGGCCTGGGTAACAAGAGGGAAACTCTGTCTCAAAAAAAAAAAAAAAAAAAAACTATTCAAGATTAAGTGAAATCAAGATTAACGACACCATTGATAACAATGATCTGACTTCTCACCAGCTCTCCACCTGCCCCCATATCACCATCATCTCTACTTAAGCACTGCAAGTCCTTCTGCCCGTCTCTCCGCCTCTGCTTCTTTTTTTTTTGAGATGGAGTCTGGCATTGTTGCCCAGGCTGGAGCGCAGTGGCTCGATCTCAGCTCACTGCAATCTCCACCTCCCAGGTTCAAGGAACTCTCCTGCCTCTCAGCCTCCCGAGCAGCTGGGACTACAGGCGCGCACCATCATGCCCAGCTAATTTTGTATTTTGAGTAGAGACGGGGTTTCACCATGTTTGCCAGGATGGTTTCAATCTCCTGACCTCATGATCTGCCCACCTCGGCCTCCCGAAGTGCTGGGATTACAGGCGTGAGCCACCGCGCCCGGCTTGCTTTTACTATCTTAGTGTCTATTTTCATTTGGCAGCTAGCATGTTTCTATGAAATGGAAGATAAAGGATGTCAGTCTTCTGTTCAAAACGTTCCAGCGGTTTTGAACCTTGTATTGCATGGAAGGCTAGCCACCCCAAATGCCTGACCCCTTCTGATCTCAACACCCACAGCCCTACTTCGGCCAGACACCTGGCAGCCCCGAGGCCTCCCCAGCTGCCATTCCCGCTGCCTGGCCAAGTCCCCCACCTCCTTCAGCGCCGCCTTCTGAGTAACAAGGTCCTGATCACTTTATTTAAAAGCTCACTCCATTGCTTCCTTTCTCACTTAAAAATGTTTTTAAACACCGCCCACGTAACATACTATGCATTTAACTTATTTTCTGTACATCCAACTAGAATGTAAGCTCCACGAAAGCAGAACTGTTTTTTGGTTTTCCCCTGATGAGCCCCTAGCACCTCGCATAGTCCCTGGCAAACAGTGGGATCTCATTATGTGCTTGGGGCTGAAAAAGTAAGGGGGATCAGCTGAAAAATTCTTACCTAGCCAGGCAACTGTCCACTACTCTCTAACCCAACTAGGCATTTATTTCTTGTAAGAATGGAGGGAGAGGGCCGGGTGCAGTGGCTCATGCCTGTAATCCCAGCACTTTGGAAGGCCGAGACAGGCGGATCACGAGGTCAGGAGTTGGAGACCAGCCTGGCCAATATGATGAAACCCCGTCTCTACTAAAAATACAAAAATTAGCCAGGTGTGGTGGCAGGTGCCTGTAATCCCTGCTACTCGGGAGGCTGAGGCAGGAGAATTGCCTGAACCTGGGAGACGGGGATTCCAGTGAGCCGAGATCACGCCACGGCACTCCAGCCTGGGTAACAGAGCAAGACCCCATCTCGTGGGGGAAAAAAATTGAGGGAGAGGAGAGACCCAGAATCTGGGACACCTTGCACAGAACAGGATTAAGTATGAAGCTACAGTCTGAAACTGCTCTTTAAAGCGTTTTGGAATTCATGTGGCAAGCAAAAGTTGAAGAGTGCTCACTCTCCTGTGTCATTGCCACAAACGGTGCCGTTCGCCTTTTTCCGCCATCGCAAATAAGCACTGCAAATGCCATTTTACTCACAGTATAGTTCATCTGAATTTATCTTACCACGAACAAAGTTCAGATTCTTTTAACGCATTTACAATATATTTACATTCTTTTTTGCAAGCTCTTATTTGATCATTTTTTAAAAATTAAGTTTCTAGTCTTTTTCTCACTTTTTTTATTTTTACTTTTTTTTTGAGACGGTGTCTCACTGTGTGGCCCAGGCTGGAGTGCACTGGTGTGATCTCAGCTCACTGCAACCTCCGCCTCCCGGTTCAAGCATTTCTCCGGCCTCAGCCGCCAGAGTAGCTGGGATTACAGGCTCCCGTGACCTTGCCCCATTAATTTGTTTGTATATACATATATATATTTTTTTCTTTTTTTGAGATGGAGTCTCACTGTGTCACCAGGCTGGAGTGCAATGTCTCGATTTTGGCTCACTGCAGCCTCCTTCTCCAGGGTTCAAGTGATACTCCTGCCTCAGTCTCCAGAGTAGCAGAGACTACAGGGATGTGCCACCATGCCCGGTTAATTTTTTGTATTTTTAATAGAGACAGGGTTTCACTATGTGAGCCAGGATGGTCTCGATCTCCTGACCTCGTGATCCACCCACCTCAGCCTCCCAAAATGCTGGGATCACAGGCATGAGCCCCCATGCACAGCCTAATTTGTGTATTTTTAGTAGAGATGGGTGTTTTTCATGTTGGCCAGGCTGGTCTCAAACTCTTGACATCAAGTGATCCACCGTCCTCGGCCTCCCTAAGTGCTCGAATTACAGGCATGAGCCACCATGCCCGGCCTCTTACTAAAGAGCTGTATACACATTAAGATATTGGCACTTTTCCTTCCTAGAGATTTCAAATGATTTTTCTCCTTTGCAATTTGTGTTTAAACTTTGTTTATATTACACTATTTTCTCTCTCTTCGTTTTTTTGTTGTTTTTTTTTTTTTTTTTTAGTTGGGGTCTCGCTCTGTCTCCTAGGTTGGTTTGCAGTTGCACAATCTCGCCTCACTGCAGCCTCCACCTCCCCAGTTCAAGTTTCTCCTGCCTCAGCCTCCTGAGTAGCTGGGATTATGGGCACATGCCACCATGTCATGCTGATTTCAGTAGAGATGGAGTTTCACCATATTGGTCAGGCTGGTCTCGAACTCCTGACCTTGTGATCCGCCTGCCTTGGCTTCCCAAAGTGCTGGGATTACAGGCGCGAGCCACTGTGCCCAGCCCATACACTATTTTCTAACCACATGACTGGTAATTTTCCCGTAAGAATCAAGTAAGCACAGACCTGAATCATCACCATTCTTTCTTGCTCATCAGTCAACATGCTTTTAGCTGCTTCAAGTTTCTCCCTCAGTGTGTTCAATGTTTCCCAGAATAACTTCTATAGAGAAAGCACAGAATTCCAGGTTAGATGATTGATTTAACAGTTGGATTCCTAACCTCAGACAACTAAAAAGCCAACAACTCAGAGTATATATTTTCGTAGCCTTTAGGTTGAAGTTTCAATGAATGTGGAACTCATCTAACATTCCTTAATAAACATCAACTAAAGTTATGATTTTGGAGCGCCAGAATGTCTGTCCATTTCATCAGTATAGGAGTTGGCCAGAGTGTCTTGGGATCGGCGTGAATCTTACCCCGTAATTCTCAGCAGCCTCTTGTATCCCGCACACGCTGTGACGCTGGTGGTCCTGGGACTGGACGCATTTGCTGCAGAGTGTGATCTGGTCCGTATCACAGAACAGCTGTGTTTGTTCCAGGTGTGTTTCACAATAGGCATCTTCTGCAATGTTGTGCTGTAACTGAGGGCTGAGCCTTTTGGACATCCTGGTAGGTGTCCCTAGTTGAAGACTGGACTGTTTGCTGTAAGATACTTCCCTGCACTCTGAAGGGTGGGAAAATGGTGGTGGCTTCCTTTGTTTTCAGGAGCAGGCACACACACTTGGCAACTTCAGGGTCCACAAGATCCACGGAAACAGTCCACGCAGCGGGTCACTGCTCCAGACTCCTCAAATCCAACCAACCGTTGGCAGCTCCCTGCTTGGGGAAGAGACAGTTAGGCCAGAGTTCTAAGATCAGAGGGGCTCCCTGAGGTCTTCTGACAATCTTGAGCAATAAGCTGAAAATTAATTATAAGCAACAGCATGGCACAGCACTCACCCATGAGTCATTTAGGAGAAAAAAGTGCTCAAAAGGCACAGTGCTAATTATTGAAGGAACTCCAGGACTAGGGTGAGGTAACAGAGTACGAAAGGAGTTCACTGGTAGAGGCAGGGTGTGGTGGCTTATACCTGTAATCCCAGCACTTTGGGAGGCCAAGGCGGGTGGATCATAAGGTCAGGAGTTCAGGACCAGCCTGGCCAGAGTGGTGAAACCCAGTCTCTACTAAAAACTATAAAAAAAAAAAAAAAAAAAAATCAGCTGGTCGAGGTAGCAGGCGCCTAAAATCCCAGCTACTGAGGAGGCTGAGGCAGCAGAATCGCTTGAACCCGGGAGGCAGAGGTTGCAGTGAGCGAGATCGTGCCACCGCACTCCAGCTTGGGAGACAAAGTGAGACTTAGTCTCAAAAACAACAAAAAAAGAAGTTAATTGGTAGAATTACAGAAAAAAACCCTGAGCCGGCCAGGTGCGGTGGCTCACGCCTGTAATCCCAGCACTTTGGGAGGCCGAGGCGGGTGGATCACGAGGTCAACAGATCGAGACCATCCTGGGCAACACGGTGAAACCCCGTCTCTGCTAAAAATACAAAACATTAGCTGGGCATGGTGGCGCGTGCCTATAATCCCAGCTACTCAGGAGGCTGAGGCAGGAGAATTGCCTGAACCCAGGAGGCGGAGGTTGCGGTGAGCCGANTCAGTTTTAAATTTCTAATACAGTAAACGTAGACACGAACGCTCATAAACAAAAGCTTGTTGGGACCTTCGTCGATAATGAGTGCCAAGGAGTGCCCATTTCGCGTGGGCGGAAGAGCTGGAGAAATACCTAAGGTACAGGCGGCTTGATGGGTGCAGGAAGCCACCAGGGCACATGTTTACCTGTGTAGCAAACCTGCACGCTCTGCACGTGCACCCCAGAAATTACTGTATAAAAAATATTAATGCCATACGAGGAAGCGAACAAAGAGTATGTGGTAAAATGTAAAAGAAAGTATTCTAGACTTGCACTATGCAGTTAATAAATAATAATAAAATGCTATTTTTCTGGGGGAAAAAAGGACTACCGATTTCAAAACGTTGAGAATCTTGGCCTGAAAAGGCATATTCCCCACAAATGGGATTGTGGATGAACGTATCCATAATTTTGATATGTTTTGTCGGTTGCCCAAGCACAGAAGTTGTACGATTTTGCACTCCAAGCAACAAATTAAAAAGATGTTAAACTTTTGGATCATTGCCCACTGGCTGGGAGAGAAATAGTATGTTCATACATTTTCAACGTCCATCTGTTCTGTTGTTAATATGTCTAAACCTTTCATTTGCAGATGCTCAGAAGCCATTTTCATTTTTTGCTGCAAACTCTATGTTCAAGCCTCTTTCCCAGCTTATTCCATCCGGCTTTTTGGCCTTTTTTGGGGGGAAGGGTCAATTTTAAGAGATAGTTTACAGATCCAAGTTCCTTTGTATATTATACGACTTGCCAACACTCTCTCTCCTTGTCTTTGAAATCCCTGGTAGTTTCCCATGTTTTATGTCCCTGAACATGTCTGAGATGACTCCAAGTCACCAAAACAAAGAAATTCACCAATTCAAATGTTCCTTAAGAACTGAAATTTTCCTCGAGCTCTCGGCAGCAAACATAGCTGACTACCACACTCTTCCTCCTGGAATTTCTTCCCTCATCTGTGCACAGCTCACATTCCTCTAACTCGACTGGTCTTGTTCCCCAAGGCCTTTTCCGGTTTGACATCCTCTGAACCTCTCAGTCTTGGGGTGCTTCAGGGTTCAGTTGTGTCTCCCAGTCCTGGTCTCCCTAGGTAATCTTACTCATTTCTTAAGATTTAAGTACCACGTTCCGATCTCAAACTCCGGCCCAATTCTCAACATTTTTGCAATCGAATGTGTAAGGAGCACCCGACATTAACATAGCTAAAGCCGCTCTGGATTGCAGCGCAGTGCCTCTCTTCCCCCAAAGTCACTCCTTCACAGCCACCCTTTCAGCCTTCCTTTCACCAACTCAGCTATTGTTTTCCAAATTTATGTTCTGCCCTGGCCTCCCCGCCCGTCTCCAGCTCCTGTCCGCTCAAACACCGGAATACTTCTTTAAAACCAAAACCAAAACCACTTTCTGTGGCATGTGGAGTAAGATCCGTGTGGCTAACCCCGTCCTGTGCCATCTGGGCTCCTGCCTTCAGCTGACCTCACCGTAGCTTTCCCCCCTCACCATCAATTCCAGGTGCGGAAATTCATCACAGCCCTTCCCCCTTCCAAGGCTGACGAAGCTCCTGGTTCATTTTTGCAATTCTGGCTGCCTCTTCTTTCTTCTCTTCAGTTCTCAGCTCCAATGTCCTCCCAAAGTGAGGCCTTTCCATCACGACTCCACTTGAAATACCTTCCCACCACTCGTTTCCTGATTTATTTTCTTTGTAGCTGAATGATTTTACCATCCTAGGAGCAACTCGTGGGTCAGTCTCCACTCATAAGAAACCAAATTCCTTCGATGCCCCGAGTCTACATCTGACACAGTAGATGCACAATAAATACTTTAAAAGATTTTATGTCAAACCAGTAAGAATTTAAGTCTTTAAAAATTTAAGTGTCAGTATTTAAAAATTTAAGCGTCAGGGCAGAATATAAATTCTTAAGTATTTAAGAATTTAAGTGTCAGTAGTCTGACACAGTAGATGCACAATAAATACTTGAAAAGATATTTTATGTCAAACCAGTAAGAATTTAAGGTGTAATGAGAGGGGGCAGAGACTAAATATTTTTACAGAAACAGGAAGGAGAGTTGAAGAATGAAGTCCCCAGAATGTTGTCAACCCTTACTTAGTTTTTCCTAAATTTTTTTCCTTGTTCTGGCTTTTTCCTGTTAACAAACAGATAGAAAAAAAAAAAAAAAGAATCTGTGTGTGTATAGATTCTTTTTTTTTTTTCTTTAGCACCAACTTGCTGTACACACACATAGATTCTAAGATCAAGATGAGAAATTTAAAGAAGCAGTTATTAAGAAACGCGCTGTAGAGGAAAGCTCACCTACTTTCTTCGCAGCAATCCTGGGTATTACGGGTTTCTTTCTTTTTCTTTGAGACTGGGTCTTGCTCTGTCACTCAGCTCACGGTAGCCTCGAACTCCCACCTTGGCCTCCTGAGTAGCTGGGACTTACAGGCACTGTATGACCACACCCGGCTAATTTTTGTATTTTTTGTAGAGATGGGGTTTCAGTATGTTTCCCCGGGCTGGTCTTGAACTCCTGGGCTCAAGCCATCTGCCTGCCTCAGCCTCCCAAAGTGCTGGGATTACAGGAATGAGTCACCACGCCTGGCCAAGGTATTTCCTCTAGGGAAAAAGCTGGAACCATGGAGACTGCAGAGATTTTATCTGTTCAGTTCCTCCCTCAGCCCCGCCCTCACACCATCAGGAAGGCTTTTGTGCAGTTTCTTATCATATTCACACAGTTAATCTGGGACAGGGCTCACCAAGCTCTCCTTAAGCGTTGGAATCGCCTGAATTTGTTAAAACGGAAGGCAATTCACAGGGGCTCTGATTCCACAAATGTAGGACGGGCTCTGTCGTTTACATTTTTAATAGACCCCAGAAAAGGCTGACTAGCCCTGACCTTGGCTGGGTGAACGTCTTGTTTTAGCTCCAGTGCCATGTACAGCGCCTAACACAGCCAGCTCCTCAAGGCTGTTTTTTTTTTCTTAATGAATCTAGTGCACATGGACAATTTCACAGGAAAGACGCCTTCGGGCTAATACTCAGGAATGTGTTTTTTCCTCAGTAGAAAATAATCCCTGACTTGTTAGTTTCCAGAATGTTTGCTGAAGGAAGTGTTCATTCCATTATCTGTAGATAGGAAAACGGTGGGTACCTGCCTGAGGAATTCGCACAGATGGGAGGTCAGGGAACAACCCCAGGTAATTAATTCGTGTATGGTACTTGGCCTCAGTGAGGGAGGAAGCGCTCTTCATCCCTTTCTTACTTTTACAGTTTTGTCCCGGACGGTTTTTATTGCATCGGTCCATCAATTCCCTGCTAATCAAACCAGTGAGTTTTTTGGGTTTTTTTTAAACACTGCTGACAGGATAATGAGAATTCTTCTCCTTGGCTTATCTGATCTTTCAGAACCTGTTTCTACGTTATGGAATCTCAAGTACATCCTTTCTTTCTCTTTTTTTTCTGAGACGGAGTCTCACTCCGTCACTCAAGCTGGCGTGCAGTGGCGCAATCTCAGCTCACCGCAACCCCCGCCAAGCGATTCTCCTGCCTCGGACTCCTGCCCGAGGTGCCTGCCACCATGCCCGGCTAATTTTTTTTTTGTTGTATTTTTAGTAGAGACAAGGTTTCACCATGTTGGCCAGGCTGGCCTCGAACTCCTGGCCTCA